GAATTGCGTCTATTTCCTTGTTAGCTGAACATCAACGATAGAGGGCAAACAGCAAAGTGCATATAAATTAGATGGGAATGATTAAGGCTTGCTTCAAGATGGGCATACTATCAAAATTCACACAAATTGACCTGTTTTATCAAATCCCGAAATCCCGAGATTTTCCAAAACTTAAATCCCGGGATCGGGATCAGAATCGTAATCCCGGGATCCCGTGCAAACCCTAGTCATGCATCGGATGCAAGCGTGTGTAGGTGTACATGTGCGTGTTTAAAGCATTGTAAGCATGGAACATTGTTTGACGTTTTTTGACACAGTGAATTCAGAAACCTATTGCGAAATTCCATTGAGAGCATATAACCGTAAAACTTTCGATCTCTGATCAGCTATTCGAAACAACGATGAAATTGCTTCAGTAATATGAAACTCAATTGTTGGTCTTTATAAAGATATAGCTTTTTTCATCATATTCCTTCACTTAACAATTTTTGGATCATTGCAGTAATCCACAAAATTTTTTTTCCCTAGCCATTCAGCAAAACTGAACCCAATGTTCTCAAGAGAAACTTGAAAACTGCATTACTCCTCGTCTACAGAACGAGTATATCTCACCGAGAACATCCCCTGAAATCGTCAACATTCCATTGAATGTGAAGGTAACATTTCGATTCGCTATATGATAACATTGATCCTATTCATGAGAGATGACGTCGGAAATACGCGAATTCATACCGATAAGCTTGCGTCATGGGCAACTCAACACTACCGTCAAGCATAGATGGGCATTAGCGCACAAAACCGCTATTAGCGGAATAGCGAATTGGTCTTATTGGGCCAAAAGTCCAATCACGAACACAACGAAGGAATAAGCTTAAAAATTCGCATGGTTCTCTTATAATGATACACTTGTACGTAGTGTTCGTCGAGGAACGGGCTCCCCGGCGGGGAATGCGGGAGCGCTCTCCCGCGCAATTTGCTCCCCGACTTTTTCACGGGGACCACCTCCCGTCCAATTTTCTCTCCGCGGGGCAACCCCTGTGCGAAGAACTGCTCCCCGACGAACACTACTTGCACGTAAAGCATGAAAACGTTGTTGAAATCACTTCTTATTCGCGATTTTGACGCTTTAACCGGATTTTATCATTTTTTTCAGGGAAAATCCCGAACATTTTCAGGGGACATGCGCCCTGAAAAATTTTGGGACGAGGAAAGTTAAGACAAAATTTTACAGTCGAAGATCCGAAAATGCAGCTGCCTTCAAAAACGTCGGAAACTGTCCAGGTTCCTCGAAATTCCTGGTTCCTCGTAACACTAGTCTCATGGCTGTGTTAATAAGACCATATTGGAATGCAAACAAGTAAACAATGATAAAGATTTATGAACAACGATATAACTGCCACATAACTGGCTCACAACAAAAACAACAAAACATCTGGTAAAAAGCACTCAGACCATACGTCTCAACAAATTATTTATTTGATCCTCACGATTTCCAAAGTCACCACCCTCAACGAAATGATTCGTCTTTTTGCTCCAGCCACCATTGGGATTATTCAGCTTGAAGGGCCACAAAAAGTTGGTTGCCTGCTTGAAATGCTCGCCAACGTTATATACTTCATGGACCAGGTCTTCCATACATATTATTCCGTGCTTTCCTGAACAATGAATCCAGTTCATAGATCACCTTTCGGAATCAATGACATCGATAAAATAATATTTAGGTATGGAATGAAAAATTAACATTCATCAAAAATACCTTTGAATCAACAACGCACTACTCAGATCAACCAACAAAACCAAAATATCGAAATGATGCAACGATATTTTCCCAATATTCAAAGACTTGAGAAGATCATCACCGAAGATATTTAAGATCCTTAGAAATGCATAAAACTAGAAGAAGAACTTACCGAGCGCAGATTCGATAATCGAGTTATCCGTGATAGGAATCCTGCGCGCATTAACCTTAGCATAACCACGCTTGTAAACAAGATCATGCACACTCTTCATATTGGGATAACCCCACGCAACATATGGATCTACGATGCGTAACATTTGCAACGTAGCCTTATTCAGTTTCACAAAAACGCCGTTATTGATCTGTCGCAAACGTAGCAGCTGCAAGACTTTGCGTGGACGTGGATGCATTTGATTAACACCACGGATACGAATTACAAACGCTAATTTTGGCTCATCTGGGACGTAGAAATTGCCATTGCGTTTCGCTTCACGTTTCAAGTGTATTTGTTGACGTTCACGATCTCGGTATTCTCGTACATATTGTTCGGCTCTTTTGAAAATTAGTGCCTTCTTGACCTTCGCTTTCTGAAAAGTGAATGAATACACGCATAATTTGCGAATGATGAACAAACAAAATATTTGTTTTAATTTAATCAACTCAATATGTTACTGTTTCATCTTACTTAATAATTGAAAGATGAAAAACGTACCACTGCGAGCTTAGCTTGGACCACTTTGGTCTTTGCTATCTGTTCAGCTCTTTGCTTTCGCCTTTTCAATAACGTCTCAGGGACCGCTGGTAGTTTCTTTCCTCTGTAACAATACTCATATGCTGAATCGAGTGGGTGAAAGATGAATTCGGTCAATATAATTTTGAAATATCTCCCAAAAGGATTTCGAAAATCCCTCTAAACATTCAAGCACACTGAGATCTCAATTAAACTGATTAGCGTGGTTCATGCTAGGTGAATACTGAATTCAGAAAACTGATATTCGGAATGCAAATCAAAAATCACATGAACTATGTTTTGTTTAAGATTTATTAGGTTGATGATAACTTGCTGAGAAAAATATTGCTGATTTAAAAAAGAACAAATAATTAAACAAATACTTACTCAACCATTTTCGCTGGTACACGCTTACCCCTGAAAACAACAATCAAATTTGCGGGATTCTCACCACAAATACACAACTTTTATTCAGCGCAAGAACGAAACAATAAAACTGGAAAATTAATATTACTACAAGAATAAGAATAGAAATAATAATAACAATAACGATAATGATAATAATATTACTTTGACTGACCAAAGTAGTGAGCAGAGGAATGACTTTATCATTTCATCATTATTTTATCATTCTTCTACACATTACTGTAGTCGGTTAAAGTACCATTGCTATTTCTTTTTCTATTCTTATTATTATAGCTATCATTGTTTGATACAAACTGAATATTTTCTAAATCACAAAACAGTGCGTTACACCAAATATTCTCTAAAGAATTAACTGACCTTGCGAAACAAAGAAAAACGAAACAACACCCGAAATTCAATATGTAAGGAACCAAAAAAACAAATCAATACCCCCTAAAACAGTCACTTTAAAGTTTCCGAAAAGAAATTAACTTGAAAACCTCTTGGAGAAACATTCGCTCAATTGCAGGCAGCATTGTAGGGATGGCAAATTTTCGCTATCGTAGTTTTTGGCAAGCATACGCATTCACTCTGAGAATCACGCGCGACCGCTTATCTCAAAATGTGCGCGTGGAAGCTGCAGAAACTCTATTTGCATACCTCACAAACTTTCCCTATAAAACTTTTCAATGATTAGTAAGTCCAAGATAATCTCAGTTGAGAAATATAAGTATGTCGTCCATTTTTCGCTTTAAGGTTTGTTATTTGTAACAGTTGATTGCTTCTAAGTGGACAATTTTTAAGCTATGAACATTGCGTGGAATACAGCAGGTTTGGCGCGCGCGATGCGGTTTGGCATATTATAAAGAAGTAAGCAGCCGCACATGTATACGGAATTCAACTGATCTTATGTCAGTGGGCTTTCGTTCAAGAATTACTTGAGAAGTGACTGTTCAACCAAATTTACGCCGATGATGTTCGCTCAGTGTTTTGAAATGCAACGTTGGTTAAGTTTATGGCTTCCGTACGCAGCTTCAAGTTGTTTTACCGCAGTATGACTCCGTGTGCGGCACTCATTTGATGTTGAGGTAATGTTGCATTTCAGGTTGGAAAAATCGCAGCGGCAATTCGTTCGTGCGAACATCTCTTGCTAGGCTCTAACTACGTAACATATTCAACGGCGAATGAGAACGAAATGCCGTTTTGATTTTACCAACTTAAAACACAAAATTACTCTGTTAAATATGAACTATCTGTTATGATAATCGTTCTACCAAATCTTATACTTAGCTAATGCAGAACAATAGTATCATGCAACGGTTAATTTTCCGGCACTTATGCTGTTTAGTCCCTCCACCCGCACGCAGACACCATTTGCGCTTTCAACAACACCGCCGCACGTTGTCATACGCGCTTTAGGCCACACCCATTCTGTTACGCTGACTTCGGCATCGGGCTTAGGCTTAGGCTTATCCAGTAGGCGTGGCTACGCGCACGCGCGCGTGATATTGCGTACGGGTGGAGGGACTAAACAGCACAAGTACCAATTTTCCTTGTATTGAGCGATAATGTTGCAGTCAGCATATCATGAGTGGGGAAGAGGATGCAAACCTAAACGTAAGCTCCGGATGAGCCTGACCTCCGTGGTAAGCCTAGGTGTGCCTCAGTTCCGAGGGTAAGAACCAGCTAAAGGTTGGTGTATAGCCTCGCTCTTTCTGTCCTCTCCTCCCACCATTAATCTTGTGTCCCACCAATTGGGACACAAGATTACTGATTTCGCAATTTCTCGAGAATTCATATTTTTGTTTGCATTTGATCGGCTGTGCGATCATTCCAATGTGTGTTCAGCGCGCATGAATGAAGCGATAAAGAGTTGTACTCCTGAATTTATCCTTAATCATAGAGTTGAATTCCTCATAACTGCCCAAAACAATATTCATATTCGGTGCACGACATTCGATTTATTTTTGGGTGATCGCATTAACTGCATTTTAAATTGATTGAAAATGGAGATATGAAGACTTTCTCAAAACAGAACACTTCTTTTTCTTTCTCACTGTTTTTCGTTTTCCATTTGTTTGCCGTTTTGTTTTGTGAAGACACGAAACACACGCATGCATTGACTGTGTATCGCTTTTGCTTTCGCTTGAAATTTCTTAAATTCATTCAGTGTCGTCGGTTATTTTCGTTAAGTTCTGATTGGTTGGTTCTTAAAAACTGCGGCTGTGAGTGATGTTCTGTATTACAAAAATAAAGGTTATTCAACTTGAAAGTGCTTTGAATTAAATTGAATATATAATTGGTAGCATTCTCATCATATTGCTCCTTCAAATTTATGCTTGATTCAACAGTATACCAGTGCAGTAATGTTAGTATAATTTGATTGTTGCAAGTGGGAAGTGGATTCATGTTTACAACGTATGGTGTCTTCTAGGAAGCGTGGAATCCTAAGATTGACAGCTTGATAATTTGGTGGGGTGATAACTTACCGTATTCTAGTGTGTTAGGAGAAAGGAATAAAAGTCGGGGATCCCGAAAATTCAGGGACGAGGAATTCGGAGAAAGAACTCAGTCTCATCCCCGATCTTCTGATTTTCTCCGAAAATGTAACTTTTGGAAAGGAGTTAGTTGAACCTTAAAAATAGGAGTATGCGTCGAAAAAGCATAAGCAAACTGTAGGTCAGAACAGAGATAACTGCGAAGCCCCAGTGTGGTTTTAACGCTAATATTTTCATGGAACGATGATGTAATAGTTAGATTTTATGTATTCTCACGATGACCTTCATCCTTCTCCAACGAAAAATCTGAAAGCTTTATCGCCTCAAACCTCAGCTTAAAGCAGTCTGCGTTGCCATGTTCTGAATATGCCCTGAAAACTTCAAAAAGTTGCATCATTTTGAGAAAAAATCTCGTTGATACTCACCAGGTTTCGGCATTATGTGAACATTGATATTCAATATGAAAAAAATTAACTTACCTTCGCGTTTTCAATTTCATCTCATCCCTAGCTCCGCGTTTTCAAATTTCGGCTCCGAAATTTGTTGTGTTCTGATCCCCGTAACCGTCAGGATCCGGGAAAAAACTATCGTGCCAGTCTTAGCTCTTGTTAATGAATATTGGGGTTTTTTAAGGGTGCAAAAAAATTCCGGGACCAGGAGCTTGGACATTACTGGTAGAGTGTAGATTGTTCATCATTCTAATTATAACTTGTTCATCGATTTTAGCATAGAAAACAGTTTCCTCCATCCGGCTGTTGATTGTTTGGCATTTAAGAGCATTGTTGGAAGAAATAGGTATCATCTCATCACTTTTTACTAATTATAATGAATTCTACTTGCTAAATTCCACAATGAGTAATGAATCATCATCATTCAATATATGAATCAATGAAGAGATGTTTGTATGCTGTATGGATTTACGTATATGAAAATCT